GGTGAGAGGGGCGAGGCCTGAAGGGTGAAAGGAATGCGAGGTAGAAGGGGGGAGCCAATTGCAAGAATCTAAGTATGGCCTCCCCTCTTGGTAATGGACAGCAGAGAAGAGGGCGGAGGGAGACGTCAGACAGGGTAACTTATGACAAATCTATAATTTATGAATTATGAAGGGTTCAGGAGGGAGGGGGGAAATGAGCAAATGATATTGAGGGCTAAAGTGGAGAGCAAAGGTTTTGAGATTGATGAGGGCAACGGGTGTACATAGGTGCTGGACTCAGTGGATGTATGTATGGACTGTGATAAGAAATGTATGAGCCCTCAATAAAATATTTTTTTTAAAAAGACTCTTCTAAATTTCAAGACATAGTGGCTGTCATTTATTTGACCCTGCAACATGTTTGTTGTTTGTTTGTAGGAACCGATGCAAGTATGAACTAGAACCTCAGTAGCAACATTTTTGGACTTGTACACTTGCGATATGAGGGTGAAAATAAAACACATTAGAAACAAAACTGTGTAAGATGGGCGAGGCCTGAAGAGCACAGATCTGCTCCCATGACGATCTAACTCTGTTCACACGGATTGGGCTCAAATATAAAGAGAAATTCGGGGGTTATTTAAAACCTGCAGCTCTGTTTTAGATGCTAAGAACCCACAGGAAGCCAAGCAGACAGGCAGAGCTGACAGTTCAGCGGACTGTCCTGCGTTTCTATGACGCTACAGAGAAACGGAATTCCCTCTTGGGCTACCTGTGGCCAACGGGGCTTTCCAGAAAGGCATTAAGACCAAATTCTCTGCCAGCAAGTCAACACTGACTCATTATAACACAGTAAGGGTTTCTGAGGCTGTAAATCTTTATGAAAACAGATAGCCTCTTCTTTATCCCTTGGAGTGGCTGGTGGAGTCAAATCACCAACCTCGAGGTTAACAGGCCAGTGCTTACCCAACAGTACCACTGGGGCTCCTTATTCAATGTAAATCAGTGTAGAGTTATTGAAATGAGCTGGAAAGGGAGGGGATTTGTTATCTTTGCAGGGGAAATCCTCCTAGCTAGGGGATTGTGTGAAATAGCAAGGGCATTTATCACTCTTCGGATCCAGTCACCAGGCTTTTGAAAGACAGAACAATGGGACCAGTCATCAACTTTTAAATAATTAGACTTATAACATTCTACTTAGTGGAGAGAACTAAAATTTTCATCTATCTATGAATAGATAACCCACTGAACTGCTTATAAGAATGCAATAGAGAGAGGAAATAAATAAGCAATATTAACTCTCTTAAGGGAATATTATAGTTACTAAAACATTTGGATTGAATGATACAAAAATATGCTCAGGATATCCTACTAAAGAAAAACAGGACATAAAACTATATTTCCTGTAAGATTATAATTTCATTTTCATTTAAAATGTCACTGTGCCTTAACATTCATTTCATAAGCATTTATATCATATTCATTCAATAAACATTTACTGATACATCCCAGATATTAACATACCCTGTTTCCTCGAAAGTAAGACATCCCCCGAAAATAAGACCTACTTACAATTTGCCTCTCGCTGAAATATAAGGCATTCCCCCGAAAATAAGACCTCCCCGAAAATAAGGGTTTGGATTGTTATGATGATGTTCCAGAAGATGATGACATGACTGTCACTGAATAAATGAGTAAATGTACCATAGACTGTTGTACATGGAAGTAAATAATGGTAGTAACAAGAAATTCTTGATACTGTAGATTCACAGTTTGTCTGGTTATGCTGATTTGTGATGACAATTACTACCATACCATATACAGGTAACAAATTTCTTTTTTGTTCAACAATAAATGTGTACCATATCCTTCTTCAAGGAAAAATAAGACATTCCCTGAAAATAAGACCTAGCACGTCTTTGGGAGCAAAAATTAATATAAGACACGGTCTTATTTTCGGGGAAACAGGGTAGTTACTTGGATAGTGAGCCCATAAGTAATTGCTTATATGAAGTTCTCAAAATGTCTATGTTAAGTATATGTTACTGTTATCAACATACAAAACAATAAATTGTCAGAATATTCAACAAGACACACCAAGTATATATATAAGGGGAGAGCTTAAAAAACTCGGTGAACTAGAAGGGGGAACAGACAGCTATGTCGTCTATATAACCCCACTCGAAGGGAACGACCATCGGAATGGACACATGGGATGGGGTAACTTAAAGCAAATAATAATATGAATATATAATATACTGAGGGTTCAGGAAGGTGGGAGGATGTGGGAGGGGAAAACAGGGAGCTGATATCAAAGAGTTCAAGAAAAGAAAATATATTGAAAATGATGTGGGCTGCAATTGCACAATTATGCTTGATCTAACGGAACTATGAATTGTAATAATGTATCTGTAAGAGCTTCTAATAAAATATTTTTTTAAAAGTCTGTGGGAAAAGTTCATGGTTTCTAATTCCATTTTTCCACGATTTTTTGAAGCTCTCCTATAATTATCTTAATTAATCACTTGTAAATGCATTTTTTTATGATAGAACTTTCTTCCGGGACTCTATGTATGATCTGAATCTTACCTCTTGCTCTACAGGTATGCCCAGAGAAGCAAAGTAACCGGACGAAGGTTACAGAGCAAGTTCACAGCTGCATCAGGAAGAGACTTCAACCCTTGTGACTCCCGGGGCCAGACTCCACTCATGACAGCCCAACTCTACAGCAGATGGCCACTCGCTAGTTACATGGACTTGGGTTTTGTTGCTCCCTTCGAGCTGGAGAGCTTGGGGCCAAAGCGCAGAGATTCATCATCCCAAGGGAAAGTTCATCTCTGACCTGAAGATGGGACAAGCCAAACGCACTGCCATCCACCCCCCCACCCCCCACCTTCCAGCTCATAGGGACCTTAGAGGACAGGAGAGTTGCCTCTTTGGTTTCTGAGACCTTTAATCTGTACAGGAGCAGAGAGCTTCATGCTCCTTCCCTGGAGTTACTAGTGGGTTCAAACGGCTGACGTTGTGGTTAGCAGCCCGCTCTGCCACCAGGACATCTTAAAGACCGGACAATCAATTGTGGTCTAACTATTGAAAGAAAGCTGAAAGAACAATGAAGTTACCTCATTCCAGACAGGGTTGAGCTCATTATCAACTTTCTTGGTTTTCTTTTTCTCATCTGCAAATAAAGAGAGCGATCTCAATTAAAAATAGAGAGAGAGCAAATATTATACATTTAGTCATTGCAAGAGCATTTAATAAGAGTCTAACTGTGCATTGGGAGTCCTTGAGAGAGGTCAACAATTAACATGCTGCGCTGCTAACCCAAATGCTGGACGTTGGGGTCCACCGGGTGTCCTTGGAAAGACAGACTTGGCGACGTACTTGTGAAAAGTCAGCCGCGAAAACCCTGTGGAACACAGCTCTGCCCTGACAGGCACGGGCCCCCCATGAGTCAGGTCATCTTGACAGCACTTGGTCTGGTTTTACTCTGTACCCACGTTCCCCCATTCATCTGCCAGGGATGAGAGCTCCCTGAAGGGATGTTTTCCAAACTGAGCGACATTGCCTTGAACTAAAACTTATTTATCACTCTAGGTCTATAAGGAACTAAGGAAAGGCATTGGAATACTGAGGGCCCTTGCACACCCAGGGTCTCCAGGGCCTGCCTCGGTGTCTCCAGTTCACCATAAAACACCAAATAAGTTAACCTTGGAGTTGCAGGTTTCTACCTACCCCTTCCTGTGAGAACCCTGCTGGCAAACGGAATTATGTGTTGGGCTGTTAGCCAGAAAGTCAGCAGTTCGAACCCACTGTTCTCCCTGTGGGAGAAAGTTGAGACTTTCTGCTACCATCAAGACTTACAGCCTCAAAAACCCACAGGGGCAATTCCACCCTCTCAGCTCTGCTGTGAGTCAGAATTGACTCAAGGGCAGCAAGTTGAATGATGACTACAAGGAGTTAGTAAACATCTGAGCTCCCATGTGACAATGGCACTCTGATCTCAGAAACTCATGCTGCCTCTGGGTGGGAAGAGATGAGCTCAGACAGGAGGAGCCAGACTCCCTCCTCCAGGCCTCGGTGCAAGGCAATCAGGAGGACACTCTCTAAGGCTGAAGGAGAACTTGGGCTTTCCTTTCATTCTGGCCCACCAGGGCCTCGTTCTCTGTCAACTGGAATGGATAGCACGCCTGCCTAGCTGAGTAATTGTTAACCTGGCCTGTCCTTCGATATTCCTGGGAGTGAAGTCCAAGGAACAGAGGCTTCCTTTGGCTCCCCGTGTCCCCAAATACAAAGTAAAAGCTAATATTGAAAAGCAAAGACTTGGCCATTATACAGACCTGAAAAACACTACCTAATCTCCTTAAAGGTCCCTGGGTAGCACAGTAGGCATACTACTGCTCATCTAAAAGGGGGCCCTGGTGACCCTAGTGGATTACACATCAAGCTGATAACCACAAGATCAGCAGTTCAAACCTACCAGCCACTCCAGGAAAGAAAGATGAGGTTAATTGCTTCATAAAGATTTACAGCCTCAGAGGAAAATCAGAGAAAGGGAGTGGTATAAAATAGAGGTGTGCGTGTGTGTTGATGAGTGGTTTGAACTATTGAATGCAGAGTTGATGGTCTGAGATGTAAACTCCCCACTCAATTCACAGTAAGTAAATAAATGATAGATAGATAGATAAAATAAGTACAGCCTTGGAAACCCAAAGGGGCAGTTCTACTCTGTCTTATAGGGTCACTATGCTCAGAATAGACTTCGTGCCAGTGGGGTTTGTGTACGTGCCAGTGGGGTTTGTGTACGAACCCACAAGTTGTCAATTCAAACCCATCCAGAGGTGCCAGCAAAGGGCCACCTGGTGATCGGCTTCCACAAACAATTACAGCCAAAAATAATAGTAAGGCACAGTTCTATTTTGTGACACGAGGCTGCTGTGAGTTGAAACTGATCTGATGACAGAAGGCTTGGTTCTGTTGTGATACTTTAATGATCATTCTCCTTTAAAGACCCTGCTATTGTTGTTAGCTGCCATCAAACGGGCCCTGACTCATGGCCCTCCCGTGCCCAGTGGAGTCGGACTGGGGAACACATGGTGCACGAGTTCATGGGCTGCTTCGAGGCAGTAGATGGCCAGGCTGTTCTTCCTAGTCGGTTGCTGTATGAAGGCTCTGCTGAACTTTGTTTGGCATCACAGGAACCCGGAAGCCCCCAGCGACAGGCCAGTAGTGGCCGGGCTGGGGGCTCACTGACTGGGACTCGGTTCCAGGTATCCGGCCCACATGGAAGGTAAGAGCCCTTCCACTGAACCTCCGACGAACCCAACCCAACCCACTGCCATCGAGTGAACCCCTATACGACAGGGTAGAACTGCTCCAAATTGTGTTTAAAAAGTAGATTGCTTCCTTTTTCTGCTGCAGATTGGCTGTGGGTTTAGCCTAGCTGCCCAAACGCTTAACCCACGGAGCCGTGACCCTGTAGAGCAGGCTAGAACTGAACTGCCCTTGGGGTTCCCAGCCTGTAAATCTTGACAGGATTGGAAAGTCTCGTCTTCCTCCTGCGGAGTGGCTGGTGGTTTCGAAACGCTGTCCTTGAGGTTAGCAGCCCACCTCTTAACTCGCTCTGCCACCAGGGATCCTCACCAAGCCACCGGTGCCCCCGGAACCAGCCTAGGAAAGCGCTGCTATTTTCAGCCCCCACCCCCACCCCC